GAGAGTCATATTTCCCTCTGGCACAATTAATTTGGAGCAAATGTCCACTAAGACTGTTTGGGATATTTCACTCAACACATTAGGGATGCACACACTTTTTCAGCTGTTGTTGTCCATAGTATTTTACAGTTGGACAGCTATATGTTCATCCTTCCAAATAATTATTTAAGGGAAGTCAGATTTGTGAAGTCAAGAACTGAATATTAATATTAATGCCTTTCTATATCATTATGTGGAAAAACAACAACAACGAAACCCAAAATCTTTTTTTTTTTTCATATTAAACTATTACCATTCCTTACTCAGCTAAATTAGTTTTCTATCAAAACCCAAGGCTAAGAATTTTCTGATCCCAAAATGTCTTTAAAATCACACCAAATTATAAACTGGACATATTAAACTATTGCCATTCCTTACTCAGCTAAATTAGGTTTCTATCAAAACCCAAGGCTAAAGATTTTCAGATCCCAAAATGTCCTTAAAATCACACCAAATTATAAACTGGAAAATACTTTTAAGTGCAGTTAAAATATATATATAACAGGCACAGAGTATAAAAACACATCTGAGAAAAAAAAAAGCTGCATTCCTGTCTATTGAGTGCCACATGAAAATACTGTTCTGAAATCTTCACAGTGGTCACAGAAAAAAGTCACAAAGCTCCTAGTGTTGTGAATTTCTGAACAAATAGTTACTATTTGCCTGAATTTCTTGAAATACCTTTGAAGAAATATTTTGATCTGGTATTCAGAGCATGAAAGAAAATACATCCTCATGCAGAAAAGACAGATTTATTAATTCAGTTTGTGTCACGTGGGGCTAATTCCTTGCTGTGATGATTATTTTTTTAAATTAAGAAAATTTGTTCTTGCAATTAATGACAATCAGCAGAGAACTGTGGAAACAAAAAAAATCTTCATTTGTCTAACATCAGATATTCATTGACTGCAGTTTTATCCAGTTCACCTTTTAGAACGTTTGGAAAGAATTCAAATTTACAAAGGTCAACCAGCTTTAGCTTGATGCTGCTATAAGAGCTAAAACATGTTTAGGCTCTGAATATTAATTACCATGCTGCTTTAAAGGTTACACAGTCACTTTCTCCCAGGGAGGTCATAGTTTTGATTGAACAAAGCCTTAATTATAGAATATTGCAGTGAGCTGCAGCAGCAAAGCCAATAAGTGGGTTGTTCTTTCTTTGACAGTCCTAAAAAGATAATAAAGGCCCGTGAAAAAGAGAAAAACACATCTGTTAAATGAAAAAATTGAGAAAATTACAGATTAATAGTTTGTTTATTTTTTCTCCATTGGTATAGAGGAGGAAAAAGATGTTGCTGCCATTCTAAGTACTGTGCTTGCCATTATTAGAGACTTCTTTAAAAATGAGAAAGCTGGATCAAATGCTATTTACTAATAAGGATGTGATTTATATTACTGCAATTGAAGCAACTGTTCTGTGAAAAATACAAGGACTCATCAGACACCTGCTGGCATTATAAACCTATGAATAATTACTAAGAGATATTAAAAAGATTATTTTTTCTAGAAGGTAATACATTTCATTCAACCATGCCTTACCTTGCATGCAGAAATTTATGCCACCATAATGAAGACCATAATGAAGACCATAATGAAGACCATAATGAAGGCCATATAGTGTTTCATATAGAGTTTGGCCCTTATTGTGATACAGCTTTTAAATTCGAGTCTGGATATTGCAACTCATTTTAGAAATTTTACCATAGAAAATATTTTGGCCCAAGTCTGACAGGTGTGAATATCTGACAAATCTGTTTTTCTTCTTTTCTCTTCCCGTTTCTTCTCTTCTGCTTCCTCCACATTGTGAATCCCTTCTGCCTTATGAATTTTCATTCTTCCTATCACCAAAAAAATTACTATGGCCAATGCAAAGAGATCTGTCCCCTTTCCCAAAGCAGGTGAAATGAACTGTGAGGCCTTTTTTCCCCTAGGGACCTAAGACTTCCCTTCCAGTGTTTCCTAGGAGCATGAAGGTCTTGTTACTGCAGGCTCAGGTTGCTCACGATAACAGACTTTCTCATTTCAAAGTGCTCCATCCCACAGATCTCCTGAGTCCTGGGTCCACCTTCTTGGCAAATTTGTCTGAACTGATAATTTGCTTGGAAGTGCCTGCCAAGTGATGTGCTTGTTTTGTTGTGATAAGCAGCTGCAAGTGGTGTCTAAATCAGTAACGTACATGTGAAAACTTCCATATTCTGTGAGGGATTTCTAATATTCTTCTGGTTTACAGTTGTTGAACAGGTAAAGGTCTGTGGGAGTTAAAGAAAGGAGTGTGAGTACATGGCTTAATGTGGTAATTTGGATGTAGCACAAGGTCTTAACTGTGAATGATAGACAGTGTGGATAACTGCAATGCTTCGCCTTAGTTGGTTACAAAAATCCAAAATTAATCTCAGGCCTAATCTTTTGGTCATTTTGTTCTCAGTTGCAAGACAAGCAGAAAACGTGTCATGCTTTGTTTCTAAAATCTGATAAGCACAACACAGGAACAAAAAAACCAGCAGTGCAGCTTTCCCTGCAATTTCCAAGGAAAGAGACAAAACCCGATTAGTTCAGATAAAATCTCCCTACCAAAGCCTGAATTGCCATGGATTTACCTTCTATCTTCCTAATAAATATCCTCTGTGAAATTGAAGTGCAATTTTTTTCCTAGGCTTTTTCATGTTCCTTTTACTATTTTCTTCAGCCTTCTTTCCTGAGTACATCTATCCATATCAGAAGTGCAATAATTTAAAAAGCCTTGTAGTTCAGGACAATTCTGGTAAGAAGCATTTAAATTAATGTATAAAGGAGTCAGTGGAAGACTGGCTATCTCACATCTTTGCACAAAAATGATTTCCTAAGACTTTGTACCCTACTGGCATACAGTTATCAAATGCTTAAAATCTTGTGTGTTGTTGTATTGTTACAGAAATATTTCAAAAAGGAAAATAGTGATTCTTCATAAATGTGACCTCTGCAGTACAGAAAAACAAACTAAAGCTAAACAGCATACAGAATGAGTTCCACTGCCTGCACTGGAGACATTTGACTAGGACCATGACCTTTGAAAAAAAGAAAGGAAAAAAAAAAGCGCAGAAGATGCAACATGGGAAGATGTGTTGTGAATATGTAGATACCCTGTAGCTAACTCTGTATCTGGTGAACTAAAATTAGGGGTTTTTTGCCTTACAGGTTTTTTAAGTACTGGGGACCAAGCTGCAAAAGGCAATTACGGATTGCTTGACCAAATCCAAGCGTTACGTTGGATTGAAGAAAATATTGGATCTTTTGGAGGAGACCCAAAAAGAGTTACTATTTTTGGATCTGGGGCAGGAGCTTCCTGTGTCAGTCTCCTGACACTCTCCCACTATTCAGAAGGTAATGATCCTCTGAGCAAAGCAATTTTTTTTTCATGTTATAGTATAATGAAAATGGTCATAGGAAGTATGCTGAATTAGAGTTACCTGAGGTCTGTAATGTTTGTAAAATACCTACTAGCTAGTATTCTGGCTTTGTATTAGTCAGCATAAATATAAGGAAAATTAGATGCTATTACAGCAGAAATCTCATGCAACAAATGCCAGGGGAAATATACTTTTTCTAGCTTTATCAACAGATTCCACTGGCTCTTCTACCAAAGAATTTGCCCTAATTAAAATGGAAAAGAGCAGTGACCTTTTTTCCTTTTTTTTTTCCACACTCTTGGCTGCACTTCCAACATATATTTAGATGCTTTCCTTACTTAATAATAATGTAACTTAACCTTATTGCAAACTGTATTTAACTCCCCACAAGTACTGTGTGATCCCACACAGTATTTTGGTGAGTGAGCTGTGGTATTTCTACCCTCACACCTCACCCTGCAAAAAAAAGCCCCAAACCCCAAGTATACACATCATCAATACTGAACCATGAATATTCCTGGTGGCAAGACCAAATCTATAAAGAATTTGCAAAAGAAGACAAGACCATAAGTCCATGGCATTTCTAGCACATTAAAAGAGACAGAAATTGGTGACAGAAGGCTAAGCCCTAGCAAGAAGTTACAGCAGGGTGACAGGCAAACACACCCCATTTTGTAATACATAGAATTATGCCTGATGATTCAGTCTATTGGTACAAATAGAGTGCAGTGAGTAACTGTTGAGCCATCAAGCAGATGGAACTATGAAAAATTTAACCGATTACATCATTGAAATTTTGTAGCATGTGCAGTAAGTACTCACCACAAAGGTGTATCACCCACAAAACCCACATGCTTCTGTAGCTGTTGTTGTCTTTGACATTTTGAGAGCTTGACAGTAGAAACCATGTGCAGAAGACACCCAGGCACTTCAGCTGAAATATAAAATAGGCCATTTTAGTGCTTTTACCAGAAAAAAAACAGATGAGGAAGTTCCATCAGTAAGTTTCAATTCCTTTTCAGTGCTCTGACACGATGACAGGCTTCAGACCAGGTCTTTCATTCCTCTTTATATTAGTACACACAAAAAAAAACCCAGAAAAAAACTCTTCCAAAAAAAATCAAATCTTTTTAAATTCAATATTCATACACACACACACACACATAAAATTCTACATATAGGCAGTACTAACTTGTACAGGCAAAATAGTACCAATTTAAAAGACTAAAGGGTAAATAAAAGATCTCAGAAGATTCAAACCTACTAAATTGTGTTTAGTAGAGCAGATTTTTTCAAATTGTATGTTGCATGGCTTCTGTGAAGGAAATGAGAGTGTGTAATTTTCATTTGACCTTTAAACTACTGAAAGGCACATTTATGAGTGTCATTTACACGGTGAAGAGGATATGATTGCTTGTAGCTGCCAGTCCTTTAAAAAAATGTTTCACTGTGGGAAAACCAGAGGACTCCCATTAAAGGTGCAAGAAAATTGCACTATAAGCATGAGTTTTTTCCTGAAAAAGCAACCTGAAACCTTCATGCTTTATGTGTGTGAGCATCAAGAACATGAGGGATTTTAATGAGTAGACTATTAAAGATACCATAAAAAGGGAGCAGTGGTATGATCTATGGAAATTGAAATAAAATTTTGGTGCATGCATTCTTTAATGATTGTACAATCCAATCTTTTTTTTGCTTAGTAAGAACTGCTTTTCATTTTATTTTATTATTTTGTAATTTTTTTTTTTCCAAATATCTAATTGGATTTGTGCTTAAACAATTTGCACCTGCAGGCTTGTTCCAAAAGGCAATCATACAGAGTGGAACAGCCCTGTCCAGCTGGGCAGTGAACTATCAGCCTGCCAAGTACACTCGGATATTGGCAGATAAAGTGGGCTGTGACATGCTGGATACCACTGATTTGGTTGAATGTCTTCGGAATAAGAATTACAAAGAACTCATTCAACAGACCATCACTCCAGCCACGTACCATATTGCCTTTGGGCCTGTGATAGATGGAGATGTGATTCCAGATGACCCTCAGATTCTCATGGAGCAAGGGGAATTCCTTAACTATGATATAATGCTGGGCGTGAATCAAGGGGAAGGTTTAAAATTTGTGGATGGCATTGTCGACAATGAAGATGGTGTTTCCCCCAATGATTTTGACTTTTCTGTCTCCAATTTTGTGGACAATCTGTATGGTTATCCAGAAGGGAAGGATACACTGCGAGAGACCATTAAATTCATGTACACCGACTGGGCAGACAAAGAAAACCCTGAAACGAGACGGAAGACCCTGGTTGCTCTTTTCACAGACCACCAGTGGGTTGCTCCAGCTGTTGCTACTGCTGACCTGCATGCCCAGTATGGATCTCCAACGTATTTCTATGCATTTTATCACCATTGCCAAAGTGAAATGAAACCCAGCTGGGCTGATTCAGCTCATGGTGATGAAGTCCCTTACGTGTTTGGGATTCCTATGATTGGTCCCACAGAACTGTTCAACTGCAACTTTTCCAAGAATGATGTCATGCTCAGTGCAGTGGTTATGACATACTGGACTAACTTTGCCAAAACTGGGTAAGTGTGACCCCCAGCATTCCTTTTTGTTGATAGCATACTTCTAAAATAGTCAGTAGCCCATTGCAGTGGCCTCAAGCTCTGATCCTGCAGTAGAGTTATAGAACTATTTGTGTTAAGACAGGAGGTAGCTGAGGCTTATTCATATTTAATAGATTTTTAATTAGTGTGTTCCCCCAAACTATTTTGTTTCAGTAGCTCAGTGAGAATAATAATGCACTGTATTTTGGATTAAAAAAATAGGATAATTACTAAGACAAAAGCATGTCTCAGAGAAAAGGTGTCTCACTAAGATACTGAAAAATCAGAGGCAACATGTCTGCTACTTGAAGAAGGAACTGTCAGGTAGATAGAATTTATCTGCTACAAAAGAAAGGAAGTTCTTGTTTTTCAGTGACCTTCACAGGGATGAGGACTCAGGGAGGAATTAGAACAGAAAGGCAGACACTGGAAAAATTTTTCCCTCTGAGAGCTATAATGGCAATAATAAGTACTTGACTGGAATGAAGAAGAGACTGAGATAGAAATTTTGCTTTGAGAAGGTTAAAAATATAAATTAATTCTGCTTACAAAACAAAATAAAGACATCAGTGTTTTGCTGAAATTCAGTTGTAAACATCAAGGAAAGAACCCTCAAAGCAGTTTAATCTGTGAGTGCTATTAATAAATTCTGTTCTCTTCCTACAGTATTCCTTTAAAGAGTATTGCAGTGTTTTCCTTTAGCAGCAAGGGCTTTTTTGTTAACCTTGAGTCTTCAGTACTGAATTAAAACAAAGATACTTGTGGCACAAAGGGGCTGTAAATCTTTCCAATGAATGTTTAATGGCAGGATTGGGCTCTGGAAACTGCAGCTTTACTGCACTGCAGTGAACAGAGTGCAGCTATATAAGAAAAACTCAGAGATGCCTATTGTGAAACACTCAGAGGCTTCAGCAGCCCTTGCAGCCTTTAATGAATCTAAATGACGTTCAAGGAAGAGAGACTTTGTCATCTTAACAGGAACCTCAAGCGTGAATTGAGTCAAAACCAATCAAATGCTTCAGGTCAATTTACAGGGGAGGTTTTGTGCACCATATGTTAGACAAACAGGTAGTTTTGAATGCAGAAATTCCATAGTTTAGCAACAAAGGTGAATGAACTGTGATATATTTGCATGTATTTGGCAACAAAAAGTGATCAGTAGCAGTATGAGCAAACTTTGGGATGAAAACTTGGTTTATGGACAGACAATGCCACATGCTGGCTGTACCACACACTCAGAAAGATGATGATACCAGCAGTCTGTCTTTACTTTTATAGATGGAATGCCACATGTCAGATCCTCACATATATATGTAATTGGAATTATTATGGAGATGCAAAACCTCGGCAGTCTCGCCGTTGATTACTATTACTTTATGACTATTCCCTGTAGATTAAGGAGTTGTATTTAAGCAATTTTTTGAGGCTGGCAGGAGATTCTGACATTCCCAGCTGACACCATTACTTATAATTGCAAGCACTTTCCAGCTGTTGCTACTTGAAAGCTAGTTTCAGCAGACTATACAAAAGAACAGAGATTCCAGTTCTCTGGTTATGAACCCATTGTCATATTACACCTAAGAGAACAACAGGTGCTTTGGAAGAGCTATTAGTCATTTTTGAAACTTTGACACTGGTGATAAGACAGGAATGGTGTATATCTTCTATTAAAGACTCAATCCTTTATAGGCAGTCTGAAAGACATGTTATTAGAAATGACCTCTAGCTGTAAAATTTGAGTTTTCACAAGGAAAGAAAAAGAACACCACAATATATATTACCCTGCTGATTTTTTCCCCTTTGATTGTATAAACAATGATCAATTTTCCTGGATAGTGCAAGAGAATACTTGGAGGGAAATAATATTTTAAGACTACATTTGCTCTGCACCTCTGGTTCCTCCAATGGAAAAGGGAAGGTTGTAGCACCTCAAGCTGAGAGTAACAGGGAACATATCTGGGGTAACCATTCTCCTCTCTACTCACTCACGTGCAATCCAGAATCCACCCAGGTCCTCCAAATCTCAAGATCAATAGTACAAGCCTGCATTGTTGGGGCTCTGCTTCAGGGTTTTTTTCCCACTCCATTTTTAATTGATCATTTCCCATTCTTATTGTGATAGAAGTTGTCTTGCTTTGTGTTTGTACCCATGGCAACACATATGAAAAATCTATTAACTGAAAGATTTTATTATTCTACATTTCCCTGTACATGAGCCTTGAACATTAAAACTGCAGATATATTTATTTATTTTTAATGTTTCTGAGATTTCCAGTTGTGATGACTCTCCCACAGAGGCTGCAACCAGGTACTTATTGTATAATTACAGCTCAGGTGGCACATTGTTCTGATAGACTGTGTTGGGTTTTTAATGATATGCCACCCATTGCTAAAAAAGACACATTGTTTAATGGGCCTACTGCCAAGATGGGTTTGGAGGGCAGGTCAATCTTGTAAAATCCCTAGGTGTCAAAGACACAACACAAGCTACAGTGCTTTTATTGTGTTTAACTTTGAAGTCAGTTACTGAATCTAGCAAAGAGGAAGTGACAATTAAAGTGTTTAATGGCAGATAGATTATGCCTGAAATACATACCTGGAAGCTGCATTTTGCTAATCCTTTATTTTCTACTTTGCTATGACTTTTTTTTAAAATTATTATTTGCAGTCTATTTTTGGCCTTTACAAAACTATATTTCTAACATGCCTTAGAAAGAGGGAAACAATTTGTTACAGAGTAGTAATGAGATACTGCATTTGGGATACAAAAATGACACAAAAATACAGCTTTTAATTCCACTGTGTGCAATTTATATGTGAGAGCTTCATTAAGAGGTGCACTTAGAGCTTCAGTCTGCTGCCAGTAGTACTATCCTAACTGTAATGGTAATTTTATATGCCAAATGTTCTGTTAGGGCCATGTTACCTCCTTCACAGATACATCAGCAGGGGGAGAGTGAACAACATAAGGGGATGTGTGCCAGTCCTTTACAGATACTCTCCCAGCTGCTCTCTTGTGAAGAAGGATTTGAAGTTTCACAGAGTAGATACAAAGCCATGCTCTCATTAGACACATCTATTGGGTTTCTAAAAATTGCCCTCTTTTTGATGAGCTACAATACTCTATTTTTGCTCCCATTCATCCATCTCTACCTATGCTGGTATTGGGAAAGATAAGGTCTCAAGGATATATCCTTGTTTTCTTTGTAATTCAGATAAATACTTCAGAATTATTTTACTGCCATTTATTCTGAAGCACAAACCTAACTGAGTTATTGAGAATGTCTATGTTTTATATTCAGTTTGGCTCTCTAATGGAAGACATGATTAAACTTACAATGATTAAAGTGTATTTTCAAATCAATTCTCAGTGAACCCTTTTATGAGGCTGTTGCATTTCTTTTTGATGTTTTTGTCTGAAGAAATAACAGTCTCCAATGGCAAGTCTGTGTTAGTCAAACAAAACAGTGTACTTATGGTTTGCTTTCTTCAGTAGTTCTAATAGCTGACTGGGAACATGGCAACAGTGGGACCTGGTGATAAGTCAGGAAAGGAAGTAAGGGAAAATAGGCCTGTGTACCAGTGCTTCAGGCAGGAATGGCCATGCCACTATTAATATTGTGACAAAGTGAAAAAAACAGTAGATGAATGAAGAAATGCCAGTTTTTCTCTCTTTTTTTTCTCATTTTTGTTCGTTTCTTTTTTCCCATTTTTCTCTCATTTTTGTTCGTTTCTTTTTTCCCCACATGGAGAAAAGAGTACTACTGAAAGAAAATAAATGATCAAGGGGCCTTTCATAGTCTTGGAGACAGACAAACTCATTATGTAACTGTGAAGATATTTTGCTCTCCAATGAAGTTAGAGAAGGACACAAAAAATAAAACACTTTTGAATGCATTCACCTAAAAATTCCATTGTCCTGAATGATAGTCAATGGTGTTACAGAAGTAGTTAAATCAGAAATGGTATTCAGGATATGAGAAAACTTCTTAAGATTGCCCATCATTCTTCCCATGACATGACATTGAAATATGAGATACTCAGTTCCCTCATTTGCCCTCCAGGTCAAATCCCTAATCTGCCTTCTGAACAAGAGTGTGTGTTGCTTTTCTGTCAGCATCCATTGCACACACATTTACTTTATATTGCCTGAGAAATTGATGCTTTGATTGCACATCTCCAGCCCATAAGGTGTGAATGAAATTACAATAAACAACAACATCTTAAGTTGTACAAAATCAGTGCAGACTGAAAGTAGGAGAAAAAAAAAAAGATAGGTGAAATTAGATTATTCTGCACAGTAACAAAAATATACCTCAAATAAGACAAGGAAAATCATCATATAGTCTTCTGTCATATGGAAAACAAGTCCAGGCATTTCATAATGCACACATTTTTTGTTGGTGAAGCTGTTTAAATTGAATTCTAAAGGTGATAAAAGTAAATAATGAGAGAGCAAATTGAATAACAATCATCAATTTTGTTCTAGCAATAGGATGAAGAAAAAAAAAGCCTCCCCACCAACTGGTAAAATTGAGAAACAAGTTATCTAGTCCCTATGAGAGCCATTACTGGAAAAAGTACAGAACCAAAAATATATTGCTCAGATTATACTGTTATCATCATCTGCAGTGGGTTTTTAAAGGAAAGTTTCCTAGCAGCCTTTTGTTATGTAATTACACACTTGAGCCTCAAGAACATCCAGAAAGAAAAAGGTGATGGGAGAGGCTAAAAAAGACAAAAGGAAATTTAAAATTAAAGTAACAGATCAAGAGTTTTGTCAAACAGCTGCTTTGATAAGAGAAATGATTGTCTGTGCATCTATATTTTGTGCCTACCTATAAAAATATTCTCTTGTTCGTATCAACTGAATATTTTTGGCAAATTATAATTAGTGTGTAAAACCAAGATCTGTGCATTATTCGATCCTCTTTTCGGGATTGTACTTAATTATTACCTTTTCTTGTGAAAAAAAAATTAAAATCTTTTATCAGAGAGAATATTCAGACCATTTATTCATTTATTAAGTGATCAACCCTAGAGTTGATGGCAATGGTAGAGCTCTGATATCCTCAGCAAAGAATTGACTTGTCTGTAGGGCTGACTGATTTTTTGCAGTTCCTTGTTCCAATGGACAGCTTCGTGCCCACACACAGCCATGTAAACAAATACTGAAATACAAGCCTAGCCTCATGTAATGTAATTTTCTCTTATGTGTTTGGAGGAGGCGGCAGCATAATTGGATGCTCCCAATAGACATAGTTAAAAATGACAGATGGAAGTAGAGAATGGAAGAGAGGGAAAGAGACATTGATATTTACTTGTTTTGTAGGCTGTTTGTAGAGGAACAGAATCACAGAATGGGTAAGGTTGGAAGGGACCACAGTGAGAATGCTAATTTAAAAAATGTTAGTTGCTAAAATAATAATATGCTGTCATTTTCATAGAGCCATTAAAAAAATTAATTTACAAAATGTGTGTCCAGCTTGGCTGTTCATTGAAATAAGTGCTCAGCTTCTTTGTCACTTGTACTTTGTGTCAAGTGCAACTCAGTTACATGAGCTTTTTGGTTTCCTGTAGGATCCTTTCCAGAGTTTTTTGTGCTGTGAGTCAGAACAGCAAGGGGGGGACAACACAAGCTTTTGTGCCATAACTCTTGCAGTATTTTGAGTTTCTCACAAGAAAAATGCTTTGCAGATTGCATTTATGGATTTTTAATTTGCTTTAGGATTTGTGCATTGAACCCTGAAGCTCTGTAGTAGTAGATATATTGAATTGGGCCAATATCCTCTTGTCTGGATTTTCTGAATCTTTCAGTCTGTTCTAGAAGAACAAAAGAAGTAGTTTTATTTGCTTCTTCAATACATGTTAGGAGTCCCTCAAAGTAGCAGCATACGTCTGTTTCTGTACTGCTTGGAAGTGAATATCACTCCTCTGGTTTCAACTGGGATTAACAATTACTAAATGATTATATGTATTTTCAGAATTAACACAATTTGGCTGTTGCTACATAAATTTAAAATTAATTAAACAGATAGAAAAATAAAAAAAATAGATTACAGATAGGCAAAATGGTAACAGTTAGGAACCCCCTAGTTTTTATATCTCTTATATGTTATTGAGATTCAAAAGAGTAGATACAGTACAATATTTTTAAAAAAGCTACAGCATACCAAAAACCCAAACAGCCCAAAACCCCCAAACCTCTAAAACCATAAGCATAAGTAAGCCAAAATGCCATAATTATATACAAAAAGAAGTCTTCCTTTCACTCAAAAAAGCTGAGATAAATTCTTTCAGGTAAACAAAAGAATACAGTAGTCATAAGATCATTAAAATTGCCTGTCTCATTTAAGAACTAAGGAATAGCTCTTTATGTACAATAAAGGAATGCTAAAGTAGGCAGTCATGTTCATGAGCTCTTAAAAATGGAAAAAGAAAAAAGCTAAGATGCTTTAAAATCTGTGGCAGTGGGGCTTGGTATTCCCATAACATACATAACAGAATATTGGAAGAAAAGGAAAATATTAGAATTGTTTCACAGGAAATAAACTAATGCATATGGGAATGAAAAGGAGAATGGAAAGTTCTCAGAGTAATGCATAGAAAATAAATAATGTAGTCTCAGTATAATATATCACAAAGTCCCAGAAAATACTCTTTGATGCAAAAGAAGATTCAAACTTATGCACAACAGAATATTAAACTCTGTATTAGTAATTTTATATTTCTGGATTTTCTCTTGCCAGGAGGAAGTAATATTTACTTCAAGTTGACTAAAATCATAAAGATACACAGATATTAACTATAAATTTCTGGATTTTCTCTTGCCAGGGGGAAGTCATATTTACTTCAAGTTGACTAAAGTCATAAAGATACACAGATATTAACTATATTTAAATGCTTTTTGTGACACTGGTTTGTATTTATTCTGAACCTATGAGAAAAAATAGAAAATAGGGGAAAAGCATAATTTCAATTTGTGTTACCAATTTTAAATTGTCTCTGAGTTGTGTACTACTACTGCTTAACTACTATAAAACTTGTTGATCTCAGCTAATATATTTCTCATTGCTATAAACTGAGACAGAATTAAGCCTCACTGTTCTATGACCCTTGAACAGTCATTTCATAGCACTGATCATATGGCAAATAGTAATCTGCCATTACAAATGTTTTGTGACATAAAAATAGTTCAAAGGTTTTTCCCTAAAGTAGATACTTGAATGAAGAAGGACTAATAGATCAGTTAAGGAACACAAAGAGAAATGGTTCCCTGTTATATTTATTGGCCCTGGTATTTCAGGTATTGAAGTTTCTTAGTGTAATATACACAGGCAGTATAAATTCTCATGATCACATGGACTTCCAATATTGTCCTAAGGATTAGATGCCCATATTTACTACTTCCAGCAGTGGAAGTAGTGGTACCTTAAATGAGAAAGTTACTGTTGAACCTACTACACCTTTGCTATTGGGAGAGGTAATTAGTACCTCTCTAGGACAATATGTATCTAAGACTTATGTGGAGTATGATACTGAATAACAGAACTTCAGATGAGCTTTTGGGAGTAGAAATGCTATCCTTTCTCCATTTTCTTGTAAAAAATTGAAAATAGTTTCTGAGATGCACTGTACAGTAAGTCATTTTCTTTTGATTATTTATTAACAGCTGTTCTTCAGTTAGGGAGGTTTTTTTAGCTTCTGATTTTTGGCTATTTTAAGTATTTGATAAACTATTAACTAAAGAATTGAGGGGTTTGGGAGCTTTTTGCTTTGGGGTTTTGTTGTGATCTTTGTGGAGTTTTTTAGTGTCTATAACATTGTCTGTTTTCACATTTTTAGAGATCCAAACCAGCCTGTTCCACAGGATACAAAGTTCATCCACACAAAACCCAACCGCTTTGAAGAAGTGGCCTGGTCCAAATACAATCCTAAAGACCAACTTTATCTGCACATTGGCCTGAAACCCCGAGTTCGTGATCACTACAGAGCAACAAAGGTTGCTTTCTGGTTGGAGTTAGTACCACACCTTCACAACCTGAATGAAATCTTTCAGTATGTTTCTACAACAACTAAAGTCCCCCCTCCCGACATGACCTCGTTTCCTTACGTGACGAGACGTTCTCCTGGAAAATTGTGGCCAGCCACTAAACGCCCAGCGATGACACCTGCCAACAATCCCAAACATTCAAAAGACACTCATAAAACAGCTCCAGAGGATACGACAGTTCTGATAGAAAACAAGCGAGATTACTCCACAGAGCTGAGTGTCACCATTGCTGTGGGAGCATCTCTGCTGTTCCTCAATATTTTAGCTTTTGCTGCATTATATTACAAGAAGGACAAGCGGCGTCACGAGACTCACAGACGCCCGAGCCCTCAGAGGAACACAACCAATGATATAGCACACATACAAAACGAAGAGATCATGTCATTGCAGATGAAACAGCTAGAACATGACCACGAGTGTGAATCACTGCAGGCTCACGACACACTGAGACTAACCTGTCCACCTGACTACACCCTTACTTTGAGAAGGTCCCCAGATGACATCCCTCTAATGACACCCAACACCATAACCATGATTCCAAATACATTAACAGGAATGCAGCCTTTGCATACTTTCAACACCTTCAGTGGAGGACAAAACAGTACAAATTTGCCCCATGGACATTCAACCACTAGAGTATAGCTCAGCCCTTCCCTGTCTGCCCTCACAAGCCACTTGGAAGAAAGAAAAAAAAAAGGAAAAAAAAAGAGAAAAAAAAAAAGAAGAGGAAAACGTTATAATACCATCTATTGAACACCTTGTCAAAATCTAAAGTAAAAATATCTAAAAGAGAAGGACAGTTATTATTTTCTTACTGATCCTTCCCACAGAAACTCACTGATATTTAAGATCAACTACAAACCCTGTGAAATGTGAAAAGTGTACATTGCTGTTGCGATACTGCTTTAAGATCTCAGCCACTTTGATTGAAAGTTGAGGCCAGAAGAAGTCATTTAAAATGTGTTTTGAGTGTAACAAGCAAAGCAGAGTCTTCTGGAACACAGAGCCAGTGACTGTACAGGTGTTTTGTTTTGAGTTTTTTTAATAAATAAAATAATAAAAAAAATTCTTTATGTGCCATACCATGAATGGCCATTGATAAAACAAAGACATCACCATGGGCTTTTACCCAGCATATGAAGCTGTAATCCAGACGGGGGAAATAGAATTTTATTATTAAAAACAAAAATGAAAAAAAAAAAAAAAGAGGAGGACTGACTATGCAGTAAAATACGTATAGTTCTGTGCAAAGAGATGACTTGCCAGCCTGAACTATATTTAAAGAAACTTTGTAAAAAATGTACATAGCTGTGAGTTTAAAAACAAAGAAACAAAAAAAGAGAAGCAGCTTTTATTGATGTTTTCAGTTTGAAAAGAGCTTTTAGAAAGATTGTGCATTCGATTGTGACCTATGTGTATATACATTAGTCATATCACCTCTGTTTCCTCCAAGCCCAAAGGAGGAATTTCTTCTTAATTACTAGTGGTAAACAAAAAACATGAGTTTTTTCTAACATGTTTCATTTATATGAGGCCATGGTGTCATGCAGAGGATACAGTTGTCTGTGTGACCTGCATATTTTCTCTTACAGGTTACACTAGTGCATGTAAAAGTATTCATAGGAGATTGTTGTTCTTTTCTGAAACATTTTTTCTATAATTTAATTTTGTGTTAGCCTTTGTTAAATTGCAACACGGCAATGGATTGGAAAAATGAAGAGAAAAAAACACAAAAGAAAACAATTACTATTTTAAGCTTGTTGAACTGAACCAAGAAATATCCAATAATATATATTCAGAGTCCAGTTTGTAGTTCTTGGTTATTGTGATACATTAGGAAGAATTTTGTGCCCTGAGAAAAGCAATGAAAGCCTGTGTTTTGGTCAGCCTTCTCTGAGGAAAACTAGCTCTATATTCACCAGCAGTTGCAGTGGAATCTCAGCTGAGAAAGCACCTCCTTAGCTTTGCTAAATGAAATAAATCTACAATTTGAAAATGGGGAAATGGAGGGTTGGTTGGCTGGCTGTGTAAAGAATTTCTCTGCCCAGTATCTTGTTTTGTGCTTGAGAGTGTACTTGTCAGAAAACACTTGACTTGCTGATTTATTGCACAGCAGTCCCATAGTCAGTGAACATTATGGAGAGAAGCAGAGACATGGTCAGCTGTTCTGCATCTGAACAAAACTGAAAATCCAAGAGAGCATCACTCTCAGGAAGGGCAAAATCCTTAGCTGATTATTCCCTTCTGTCCTTCCTTCACTAAAACAACAGGGGCCAAGCACAGCTATCAAACAAAGCAACTTAGCAATTTAATTCAAACAACTGTTTTGAATGTGAAAAGCTAGAAATAAGTTCTTGCAGATGAAGATTGCTTTATATTTTGTCTTTGAAAGTTACTCCATCATCGAGAGATAGCAACCAAAGATATTTGAACAAATTGGTCTGCACTTGAACATGATTATCCCAGATGTATTTTCGATTATTAATTCACAATTAAGCTGCATCGCTCTCATATGTCCCATAAGTACCTAACACAAGATGCCTTGTACCTCTCTTGTTTTCTATGCTTTTTGTTTTCTAATAAAACATCTTGGAATAGTCCCTACAACTAAAATCAAAGACAAGGTGATTCACTGAGGTCTATTCATCTGCACAACTCCTTGTTGGAGCAGGCAGTAAAACAGATTCTGAAGGAAAGAAATAAAAAGTTAATGACATGACAAAAATGCAACATGTGGCTAATATAAACCTTTATCTGTAGGAAATGTTCTATAAATCTGACCTGGAGGTTCAGGTAGGAATGTGATGAAGCAGCAACCCCAAAGTACAAATGGAAAACGGTTTTGGGTTTTTTTTCCACTGATCCATTACATAATATTGCTTAATGCTGACTCTATACCAGGCCATTTCCACCAACTATGTAATGCCTCAGCTGAGATGCAGCAGTTCATAACTCTTAAAAAAGGTGAAAAAAAAAGAAAAAAAAAGAAAAAAAAGGTAAAAAAAAAAAAGGTAATGATGCTTGGCATCATAATCAGTTGGGTATGTTTGTAATGTGAATTACAGTATTTGTTTAGTACTTCCAATTGTCTTCTGCTAGCAATATGTACAGTACTGTGTCAGGCTTGTGACATTTGGGTAAAAAAAGTTCCTGTAAGTGAATGATTTTAGCTTTTAAAAGTAATTACAATCAAGTTGATTTAATAATTTGATACATCTGGACTGATGTATGATTTATAGAGGGAACAGATTTATAGGGTCTTCATAGAATTCTATTATAATGATATCAAAATATACTTTGAAACTGTAAAAGAAAAACAAAAGTACTTTCCCAGGCTTATATTCTTGTCCTTAAGAGGCACACAGGGTTCAATGGTTTCTTCTGTTATTGTTTTGCAATTTTTTGGTTTTTTTGCCTTAAGTAATGATAGAAGATATATATGGCTGGACACATATGTATAAACTTTTCAGCAGCATTTTTAATAATAAAATATCACGGTATTTTCTAATGCTTTGTGCAAATAACTCCGTGTTCATCCTTTTGTGTAGAAAGTCTTTCCGAGGTGTGTTTTCTGCCCCATCTCCATTTCATTATCTAATGTAAACAATGCCTTGATACACAGTATAAAAATATTAAAGTAACAGAGGTTGCACTTTTAAGTTAGCATTGAGTTTTCATGGCTTCTGTAGTTCTATAAGCCTGTCAGTAAAAGGAAAGCAATTCAGACAATGAACATCTAAGAGAAGAAGCTCCATATACTTACTACCTGTATGCACTGCAATTCCCATTGAAGCAATGGTTTAATTGTTTTGTTAGTATTTTCTGAGGCACTGAAATAAAAAAAAGCTTGGGTAGGCAGCTTCCCATACTAGTGTATAGCTTAGCAGCTGAAAAATGTATCTTCTAAATGAGGACACAGAATAATGCAGATAAATTTAATACATCAAGCCTTCAAAAGTGAATATGCTTTCCTTTTATAATTTAAAGGTAAATAAACAATGAGTTTAGTTAGAAAAAAATATGTAGGAGTAGCAACATGTTACTCATATATATTTAAGGTATTTACATATATTGCAAGTATGTTAATATCATTCTTCCTTCAAAGACTGAGTAAGTAAATAGTTTCTTCATTTATGCTGTTAAATTCTGTTTATCAACCAGGTTTCCTTTCACTGGAAAGGTACATAGATGTTTTAGTAATTTCAGCTGGGTATTGTTTGCTTTCTGTAACTATTCTGCTGAATAGAGGTACTAACAATAATGTTTGATGAATTCTGAGCATATGAGTAAAGAGTATTTGCAAAAAGCAAATTCAGAATTATTCATATCAGATTTTTGATATGAAGAATCAAGCTTCTGAGATAGAAACATGTGCCTGCTGACCTAATCAAGCAGCTTGAATTTTGAATATTGAATTTGTATATAAAGCTTTTGCAAATAAACTGCAGATTTAGAGTTGTTCAGCAAATATGTACACAGGTACACTTTGAAATTCCACAGCTTCCTCTGAGATAATTCATACACAAGAAAAGGGGTTACACTTGTGTCATTTCTCTGAATTGTTCACCTTAAATTGGTTGGTGAACTCAATAAATTAACTTCTTTTCAGTTAATCAGTTTTATATTTGGAAACAGGGAAAGCTTCAGAACTTTGTTCATGCTAACTAAATATTGTGTTGTTTTATTCCTTTACTGTCTGAAATATAAATCTGCAGATTAGTATGTTCCTATTTTGACTTTGCTAAGACTATGACAATTTAATGGTATTTAATATCACATAAAAATCATATGAAATAATACCATGATAATTATGTGCTTGTCTCAGATTTGTAGTTTTGCATTTGTATTATTTAATTATCGTGAACTGTTTCTTGTATTTTCATCTACAGCTGTTTGACATCACAAACCTCATCAGCCTGAATCTCTCCACAGGCCATTAGCAGTTGGTAAAAACTGGGATTTTCATCCCAGTGGAAGTTATGATATTATATATTTAATATCATAATACTTTAAAATGCTTCTCAACACATCAAATTAGCCTGAAAAGTCAGATATTAGCCTTTTATTAAAGCTAATGGAAAATAAGGAAGGGGTTTGGAAATGTCTAAACATCTTATTTGAGCTGTAGCAGAATAAATAGCTTTCCAATTTGGGCTGAAGTTTTGATTCAAGCCATTTTCTTTGGTGTTCCACTGTGGGCACCAAGGTCCTCACTGTGTCTTCTAGAAGTTATGTTTTAAGGAAGTTATGCTTTTTCAGTCTTTTATAGCCTACTCAAACTACTTTATCCTCATTTTACCATGGTGAAGAAACCCAGACCACTCAGGGATGATGTAGACACGAGCCAGTCACAAAGCACAGACCAGACAAAGTGTCATGTCATAAACCAAGTGAACTGAAGCTCCCCTGAGACACAGTGGTAATTAAGGAGAATATGGATTAATATTCCAACAATTCAAATATAAAGTAAAACATCTAATAAATAAGGTGCATTCCATTTTTATCAATGGAAGTTCACCAATTTTTGCAATACCTACATTTTCCTAACTTCAAGTGCCACCTCTTCCCCACAAAACCTTTTCAGCCAGTTCTAGTACTTTCTGGAATATCCACGTATGTAATTGAGAAATCAAATAGATGGCATCTTTTTGTTTTTCCTCCTGCATAAAGATCCTCAAGTGCTGAAAGCATAACAAGTTTTTGCTCTAGTGCCTTTTATCAGGGCTTTCAGGTTTACTAGATGATTCAGAGTAGTCCCATTCCCAAGTGTCAAAGTTTAAATAAAAGTGAAAAGCCAGATACAGAACTGACATATATTGGCTTTGACCTAGATTACATTGCACAGTGCCATTTCTCTCCAAGAGCCAAAGATATGACACAAAAATATAGTGATTTACCTATGTTTTAATTTTAAAATATTACATTTCTAGAGACCATTTTCTCTTTTTTCAGCTTTTTGCTCTAACTCAAAGTCCTCACTCATTTCATGTCATCTCATATCTT